TCAAGAAAGGAGATACAGAAGACGCCAACAATTATATAGGTATAAATCTACTGAACACCGTACGTAAGCTTACTACAAAAGTCATAACCAACAAAATCAGTAAACTAACAACTATTAAAAGAATAATAAGAATTTAGATCTGACAGATTCTGCGTAGACGCCTTATTGAACTGAGATAAATTATAGAAAAGGACATCTAGTACAATAAACCAGAATATCTATGTTTTATAGACCTGACAAAGGCTTTAGATCGCATCCAAGTCGAAGACGTCTTACACCTGCTGTAGGTATAAAAGAAACATATCAATCAATATTATACAAATAATCGAAAACAACTACTTCCTCGAATACAGGCAACGATAAATGGAAAACTAACACAGTGTATATTAGTACAAAGCAAAGTCAGACAGGGTTACTCGTTAAGCCCACTTTTGTTTAATATAATAACGTACGAAATGATACCAGAAGTATGTAAAGTTTATGGAAAAACCCAATGTATGACATCTAAATACCCACTATGATGTAAAATCGAAATTTATGGGAAAATAATAATGCAGAAAGCAAGATTTAGATATCTGGGAATAGATATAACTAGATTTTACTGGAGTATCCTTTATATTGCATGGAGAGACTTCAATTTAAATTACAAGATACCTTACAGGCAATATTAAGTGACGGAACTGATATGAAAAACTTGATATCATACTTATATTCCATAAATGTACTAAATAAATTGTAAAGCTTTAAATTCTACAACGCCAACGACCCTATCACAATCGATGAAGCTAAGACTCCATGGATGACAGATGAGATCCGGCAACTATAGTGTATTTTTATGTATGAGAGAGTAATAAAACAATAAATTATGTATGCAAATCCCTAAACTGTTGATACGGGTGACTCAATGAAAAACCGATATTTGTCAACAAGTTTACAGAAGTATATAGGAAAACAATTTTAAATTGAGTATGACCACCAGGTATAAAGGTTGGAGCAGAATAGAATACAATAGTTGTGAGGGTTACTAATCCCTAAATAAGGTTGCCAGTGTCGGAGTGATGGAGGTTAACAGGTACTAATGAATTTGCAAGAAATGTGTTTATTTTATTGGTTATATATAACCAATAAAAGTTTAATAAGTACCTACCTATTTGCAAAATAAAGTTTAATTCTTTAGATAAAATAAAAAGTTTTATTTTATCTGAAATGAGTGCATTCCACGAAGTAAGGGTTTTAACAATCAAACATTTAATTCTTTAATTCCAGGAATCTACGACAGTAATTGACTAGATAATTACCTTCTAAACTTATTCCACAGAAAATGTGATAGTGGGTTTTTCCATTTTGTAGGAAGGTCCAAGTGGCGTATTCAAAATTCTTAACAGTTCACTAAAAGTAGGTACTTCAGTTGCAAGGTGCAGTTTATTGTGTATACTAGTGTTATGGAAAATTTGGAAGTGCCGTGTAAACGCCGAAAAATTGGTCCTTTAACAGTTAATGAAAAAACATTAATATTTAATTGTTTTAAATCATTTACAGACAAACGTTTATGTGAAAGTGTTGATGAGACCATTGAGTTAGTTAGCAGTACACTTGGTGTTGGGAAATCTACGATTTACAGAGTTATTAAAGAAGAGAAATGTGGTAGTTTTCAAATGCCACGTAATGCTCCAGGGAAACCAAAATTTCAAATAGAATATCATTTTAAAGAAGGGCTCGACGGAAAGTGCATGAATTCTTCTTTAGACAAGAATTTCCAACATTGGATAAAGTTCTTGTCTCAGTTCGAGATGATAAGGATTACCCAGAAATGAGTCGAAGTACGTTATGAAAACTTTTAAAAGAAATAGGCTTCCGCTGGAAAAAGAATCCCAGAAAGTCTATTTTATTAGAATGAAGCGATATTGTCATATGGAGAAGACATTTTCTAAGAACCATAAAGGAAATGAGAAACCAAAAAAGAAAAATAGTTTATCTTGATGAAACATGGATCAACGAGGGTCATACACCAAATAAATTTTGGCAGGATGAAACTGTTACAAGTCAAAGGCACGCTTTTGTAAATAACTTATCTACTGGTTTAAACCCACCATCAGGAAAGGGACGCAGGCTGATAATAGTACACATTGGCAGTTCAGACGGTTTTGTTGAAGGTGGTTTATTAACTTTTAAATCAACTCGTACCGGTGACTACCATGAAGAGATGAACGCTGATGTCTTTCAAGAATGGTTCGAACAAATGATAGATCTTCTTCCTAAGAACTGTGTAATAGTAATGGATAATGCAAGTTATCACTCCAGACTTATAGAAGGACTGCCCACAACCAAGTGGTTAAAAAAAGACTTGCAGAATTGGCTGAGTTCAAAAAATATTACGTACCATCCCGGATCTATACGAAAGGAACTTTATTCGTTGTGTGCCCTTCATAGAGAAAAATTTAAAAAATACGAAATTGATGAAATTGCCAAAAATCGTGGAATGACAGTACTTAGATCCCCACCATATCATTGTGAATTAAACCCGATTGAACTGGTATGGGCACAGATAAAGAGTGAAGTTTCAAGAAAAAATACCACTTTTAAAATTCATGATGTTAAACAGTTGTTTTTGGAGGCCGTAAATACTGTAAAACCTGAAAACTGGGAAAAGGCAGTAAATCACACTATTAAAGAAAAGGAAAAAATGTGGAGCTGGACAATATCACTGATAAAATGATCGAGCCAGTTATTATAAATCTTGGTTCTGAAAGTTCATCTTCTGAATCTGATTTGGATTTGTAACAAGTAGCTGTAAGTTTTATATTAATATTTTTATTCATCTATTTAACATACTTTAGACGGTTTTAAAAACTCTTTTTCTCTTTTGTAATTTTTAAAAATTAAAAGAAATGTGAATTTTTTAAAACCCTTTTTAATGTAGGCCAGTCAGTTCTAATATAGTGTGTGATAAAAGGGGTCACTTTTGTTTACATACACATAACACTTTATAACACTGAAATAATTCATTTATTTTTTACAATTATTCAAAGTAATTTTTCAATTAATCTTGAGCACGCCCATGGAGTGGTCTGAGGTACCAGTTAAAATTATGCTAATTACTCTCTCGTTCATAAAAATAAACTTTAATGGACAAAAGAAGATCATACAAAAACAAAACTGTAAACAAATACAAAGCCACACATAAGAAGGTCAAGAGAAAGCTACGGGCAGCTAAAGAGAAGTGGTACAACGACAAATGTATAGAGATAGAAGAACTCCAAAAAAATCATGATAGTTTTTAATTCTTTTTCTTGTAGTGCCTATCCGTTCCGGATATTGGCGACCATCATGGCAATCTGCACTTTGCACACTGCTGCTCTAAAAAGATTTGAGGTTGTTGTGTTGAACCACGTTCGTAGATTTTTCAGCCAGGAAATCCTTCGCCTTCCTGGTCCCCGTTTTCCTTCTACTTTTCTTTGCAAGATTAGTTGCAGCAGTCCATATCTTTCGCTGTTCCTCATGATGTGACCGGGGTATTCGATTTTGGCTGTTTTTATTGTGGTTAACAGCTCTTTTTCTTTTTCATTATCAACAGAACACCCTCATTAGTAACTTGGTCGGTATACGATATCTTCAGGATGCGACGATAAAGCCACATTTCAAAAGCCTCAATTTTCTTGCAGGTGGCGTCTGTGAGAGTCCATGACTCAACTCCGTACAACAGTATAGGAAAGATGTAACATCGTAGTAACCTGATTTTTATGGGCAGTGATAAATCATGACATTTGAATAACTTAGTCATTTTTTGATATGCAGGTCTTGCTTTCTCTATTCTAAATTTGATTTCTATGGAATGGTCCCAATTTTGTAGTTTTGAATTGCACAAAAAAATTAAAGAATTAGCAGATATAAGACGGTTCACCAATAGTAACACCCTGGTTGATAAGAATGGTAAAATAATATCTGACATCAAAGGCAAACTAAACGGATGGAAAGAATTCGTTTGACTTATTTGAGGACGACAGAACACAACAAGAAAGCATAAACGATTGCGATGAACATGTAATAGGTCCAATTATAACTAAGGTTGAAATAATACATGCAATAAATCTAGCAAAATCTAATAAAACTGCGGAGCCTGACACAATTCCAACTCAAATAATTAAATAAATATCAGAAGATCAGATCAATGTAATAGTAGTTACCCAAAGATAAACACGTTGACAAAAAAGACTTAAGAATAATAACTCATCTCTACTTTAACCAAACAGCAAAAGTCAGAGTAGGCAAAGAACTTTCGAAGGAAGTAGACATAAAAAAGGCGTAAGTTTTCGTACTCTCCCCTTATTGTTCAAACTATATTCGGAAGAAATAATTAAAAAATTATTTGAAAATGTAACAATTAAAATAAAAGTCATCGGCAGATCCATCAACAATATCAGATATGCTAATGATACTATACTAATTGCAGCGAATATACAAGACCTACAGACACTCTTAGATAATATAGTAAATGCTAGTGAGGAAAGCGGACTAACGCTCAAAATAAGAATATTACGTTCATATGTGTTTTCGGTGCGGCTGTATGGGGGGGAAGCCTGGACCTTAAAGAAAGAGGTGAACGATCGACTTGAAGTATTCGAGATGTGAAACTATCGAAGAATACTATAAATAATTTGGGTAAACCGAATAACATATGTCGAGGTCCTAAGAAAAATGACAAAGGAAATGGAAATTATGAATACGATTAAAATAAGAAAGTTACAATATCTCGGCCACGTTATGAAGGAGGATAAATATGCGTTATAAATCACGATAAAATCTCAGAACTGAAAATAGCTGTGATGATTATCAACCTCCTTAGAGGAGACGGTAGCTAAAGAATAAGAAGAATAACACTATGAGGTTGAGGCATAAATAAATAAAAAATAATATAAAAAAAACAATTGTCAGTTTCTTGGTCGGTTCAAAGTCACGGAAATACCCTATTTCATAATTAATATTAAAATGTTAGCACTTACTTTGTATTTAAACATGAAATTATTACACCAACAGTCACCGTGAGAAACAACACATTTTAAATCTTTTCTTTTTAATCCTTCCCAAAAATGTTGTGGTAATTTATTCTCAATTTCTTTTGCGTATTCGGTGAGATGTTTATCATCAGCTATTGCCTCGTATATATTTTTAAACATTGTGGTAATGTAAGTAATACTTTTATCGACACTGGTAAACATTTCCTCATTATCAAAAATATGTCCTTTTATCGGCAAAGTGAGCTCTTCAAATAATTTAGGATTTTTGTGTTTCATACCAAACGACACAGCATGAAATCTGGCGTACTCTTTAATAACTGTTTCCATATGTTCCGGATTAAAAGGAATTGTTTTATCCCAAAGCTGATAGCCTGCTGTTTTTAAGTTTTCCATAATCAAACACTGGCTTCCCTCAATATCTGAGTAGTTTTGTATTTTAATTACACTATTAAATGGTTCTATAATGCCATACTCCTCTTGAAACTTGTGAAATTCTTCAAAAATTCTTGTGTACATATAAATTTCTCGTTTGTAAGCATCACAAAGCATCTTTGGAGGTTTTTCCTTTTCATACGAAAACGCCGATTTTAAGACAACTTCTAACTTTTTTTCACTATTGTGAATAGTAACAGCGGAAACGATTCCCATAAAATTGCCCCCTTTTGATAAACAAGGTACAATAGTGAGCTCATACTCCGCAAATCCATTTTTTATCGCAATTTCGTGTATAAGCTGCTTGTGATGCTCGGTTAGCGTACACATTTTACTGACTGATAAATAAACTAACAGATGGATTTAAATTGAAAAATTGTTATTTTAATACAATTACATAACACGAATGCATATTTCGAATGCTAAAAACTACGACGTGTATGATTTACTCAATTAAATTCAAACCTATGTTTATCTATGTAGTCAAGAATAATCATTACTATACTGCCCTGCTTAGTAAAAACGTCCGATCTACAATTTTCGTTTTTTCTCAATAAAGTTATATTTTTTTAGGAAGATAGGACTTTTTAGTTAAGTAAGTCGTGTTAAAATCATTGAACTGGTGAAATTAATGTTGATCTTGTCCATATACGAAATATATGACTATTAGGAGAATTACAACTGTAAGTTATGTGAATACCCAATCGTTTCTCATATAGATATTTAAATAATAATTGGATTTGATAATTTTTGTTGATTTCATTTGTATTTTGTGTAGCTTGCAAGCAGGCTTATTTGGTAATACTAGCTAGGGATGGCGGTTTTTGACAAAACACCGGTTTTCGGTTATACCGGTTTTTTTTGCTTACGGTTTAACCTGGCAGTTATAACCGGCCAAAAAAACCGGTTTTTCCAAAAACCGGTTTTCGGTTTTTTTTAATCAAATAGATTAAAAAGTTACATTTACAATGCACTTTAGTTTGCGATACTACATTCGCAACACAATTTTTTGTGTTTTGTGGGAAAAAAATTCCCCAGACTCTTTTAAATGGGATTTAAAGAAAATATTATCAACTTAAATATTTTACTTAAAAATAAATTGGATAATGCAATTAATCTTTTATTTTTACTACCATCAAAAAAAATTTATCATGTATTACTTTTAACTCGTATTCGATTCGTATTAGATTCGTATTCGTAATCGGTAATTCGATATTCATAGTCATTATATTTGGTAATCAGAAAAAGCCATTCACCCACTTTCAATGTCAAGAGTCAAATAACCATAATAAATAGCAGATCACTTCTTATGTAAAAATATTATGATTACAAATACTTTTTCAACGAAATACTATAATAAAATTTAATTTTTTCTGGCTAATGTGAGCTTTTGCTTCTCTATTAAATAAAATAAAAATTGAATTTTAGTTTTGTTTGGAATAATTACTTCAGAATAATAATTATGATTGGGTGGGATCCAAAATACTATCTAACCTAATCCTAATCACTGTAAAAACCTAATAACCGGTTTTTACTTTAAAAATAAAAAACCGGTTATAACCGGGACAAAAAACAACCGATAAAACCGGTTATTTCGAAGTATAAAAACCGGTTTTCGCTTAAAACCGGTAGGTTTTTCCCATCCCCAATACTAGCAAAATAAATAACCACTGCACTCTAATTCGCTGTGGTAAGTAAAAATACATATAAATAATAACCGAGTAGTTAGTAAATGTTTGTTTTTCTTTAGGAAAATGGACAGAGGAAAAAAATTAGTTGCATTAGCAACTAATTTTTTTCAAACATTGCATAATAAACAGTTTCGAGAAGAAATGCGTATTATTGAGGACAAGAAAAAGAAAAACGATAATTTTCTAATGCAGAAGTTGAATTTAATGCAACAGAATCTTCTACAGTTTCAGAAACAACATTCAACTCAGGTGAGGACAAAATTTTATCAACTAACAAATACTTTTCCAATAATATTTACGAAGATGATGTGAACATCCATGTTGCAGAAGAAACTTTGCCTTTTATTAAGCAGCTACTTGATAATATCGTGGACAACGTAATACATACTCTTAAGCTGAAATATGATAAAATTTATACAAAGAAAGGTACAATCAGAAGACGTAAGAAGTGTGATTTATCACCAGCTAATATAAAAAGGCAAAAAACAGTTTCTTTGAAGCAAAAACATGTCATTAAACCACCATGTAATCCAGAACAGTGCAAGTTAAAGTGTGCATCAAAAATTAATGTCCAGAGACATCAAGGTAATAATCAGCTGGTGTGGAAAATGAATCCAGAAACCAGAAATATATTTATATATGGTTGTATAAAGCCATTCGATATAAAACTAAGAACAGCTGGAACAAAGGCTGAAAAATGTTAATGATGATGAAGTTATTGTTTGCAAAACTTTTCTCCTTTCTACCCTATACTACGTTCCACGTTTAGAAAATAACATTGCGGAGATAGGGCCATGTATTTCTTATGGACGATAGCAACGCGGCGTTGCCACGACACACACAAGCACAATTTAGGGTTGTATAATTTGTATTTTTGTTTCCACAAACATGAATTAAATTAATGTTTTTTAACGTAATTGACCAAAAGTGCCCATTCGAAACAAGAGATGAAAAGTAGGGAAAATGATTTTAATTAGATAAATAGTACTTACAAAAGATAATTTTATTTTATCTTATTTTAATTATATTAACGACAGTTTATTTGTTTTTTCGGCGAGAATACGATATGCCATGAATCATAGAAATCAGTAGAAAATATTGACCGCTTTGGAATGCGTATATCTAATTACTAATTGCAACTTAAAATAATACGATGTGCGTATGTCAGCTATTTTATGTCGTTCTCTGACTACATAATGATAATAAGGCTTTTATTTAATAGTTATTCTAACTTTACAGTTAAATGTTAATTGAAAATGAAAATTCAAAAATTAAGCAAAGGGAATATCTTGGACATCCGTGTAAAAGAGAGTGTCTGAGAGTTTTGGCAACACTGATCTCCATAAGCGTAATGTTATTTTCTTAACTTGAAACAAAGAATAGGATTTTATGTTAACAATGACCGAATTTTGAAAACTCCGAAACACTCCAGCAGCTACGAACATAATACCTGTTCCTGATAAAAGAGGACGTCATCCATGTAAATGGAAAATTGATACTGATCTTATTAAACCGTTATTCAATCCGACAATAGCACATTATCGCCGAGAACATGTACCAAATAGGCTGTATTTGACCAGTGATATATCTATTACACAAATGTACAAGCACTTCAAGGAAATGTATCCAGATACGAAAGTCAGTTATGACGTTTATCGTAAAAATGTTAGTGATATGAATATATCATTTGCAAAGCTGAGTCATGAAGAGTGTTTTGTATGTGTAACATACAACCTATATAAATCTGAGAGAAAACATAACGAAATTAATGAAAATGCAGAGTATGACTGCTGTCAAACATGGAAGAAGCATACAATTTTATATGACTCAGCACGGCGAAATTAGATCCAGGGTAGAGCAGGCTAGAACTGCATTTAGAAGGATGTCCAAGGTGTAATGTAACAGAGACCTAAAATAGGCATTAAGGATCCGCCTACTTAGCTGCTACGTGTTCTCATTTTTACTTTATGCTGTCGAGTCCTGGACTGTGAATAAAATCGATCTAAATCGCCTTGAGGCTTTCGAAATGTGGTGCTATAGAAGAATTTTAAAAGTTTCCTGGGTGGAGAAGATTCGAAACTCCACAATACTAGAACGTCTCAGGAAGACTACTGAGATTATAAAAAGCATCAAGCAGAGAAAGCTGGAGTATTTCGGACATGTAATGAGAGGTCCCAAACATAGGTTGCTACAAAATATCATGCAAGGAAAAATAGCAGGCAAACACAGTCCAGGACGAAGAAGAACCTCATGCTTGAAGAACTTGCGAGATTGGTATGGTATTGATACAAGCATGCTATTTAGGGTGGCAGTGAACAAGATTATAATAGCTATGATGGTAACCAACGTTCTGGAAGGACATGGTACATGAAGAAGAAGAAGGGTACTGTCCGAAAGAACAAGGAGCAAATTATTTTCATAATGGTCAACACAAAAAATCAAGAACAGTATTCCACACTTTTTAGTTTCCAAAAAAATAAAACCTTAGTATCTTATATCCCAAAGAAAAACAAAAATGTTCTGTTATCAACACTACACAATGATGACAGAATAGACTCATCTACGGGAAACGCTAGGAAGCCAGAAATAGTCACATTTTACAATGTTACTAAAGGAGGGTTGACACCGTTGACCAGTTATCACAAATGTACGACCTTTCCCGAAACAGCAGAAGGTAGCTGTTGGCGGTATTCTATGAGCTCTTGAATATGTGTGGAATTAACTCCCAAGTAATCTATTATATGGAAAAAAGACAACAGAATCCTCGGTTGCTGGAAAAACTGCGTGGGCACCAGGATAAAATTATAGATTGTGATGAACCGTTGCCTAAACGTCAGAAAGTATAAGGTATATGTGTAGTGTGTCCCAGAACAAGAGACAGAAAAAGTCGCTACATGTGTTATAATTGCAGACATTTTGTTTGTTTAAAACACGCATGTTTCAAATGCGATAATTGCTTTAACGAGTCAATGAAGAAAATTGTGTTGTGTTTTGCGTTTAGAAGTCTTTAGTTTTTTTTTTCATTTAAATCACACAGTAGTGATATTGCAGTGAACAGTGACAACAAGTGTAGCGGTGTCCGGAGGCTCGGAAGACTGAGACCTCGGAAGCTTTGCAGAAGACATCAGAGATGATGTCGAAAGCTCGGCTCAATGGATAACGACGCGATAGATAGACGCGATAGTAATTTAGCCCAGAAGACTGGTGAGGGAAATCTTTTTCCTCACTAAAAATAAAATAAATATTTACCTGTACAAAAATTACACCTCTGTATAATATGTTGCATACCATTAAGACAGCTTTAAAAAGTATAGTCACCTAAAAAGGGCCTCTAGTATTTCTTGTTAAGAAAGATAACATCAATTACACCTAATTACATATTAATTACACTGTTTTTTCTTTCCATTCTCTGTATGAGTTAATATACACCAGTAAAACATGCCATCTATCAAGTTTTACTATTTTTACAACAAATTTTAAAAATTTTATGATGTATTATGTCCATAATTGTATATTTTAATGTGTGGTATAAATGTTGAGTGTCAATGCTTACAAAAATAATCTCAACGACTGGTAAGTTACACTGAAGAATTGTGATATTTTTAAATATTTGCATAATTGTCTTTTACAGTGTCTTGAAAAAGGAATAAAACCATTCCGAAAGCTCGAGACAAAAAGTCAAAAGAGTGTTTTTTTTTTAACATCCCAGCCAATC